AAGGGTCAGAGGTCACCCTATAAACATGACCGAATGGGATTTTTTTTTTCTTCATAAATCATGAGATGCAGAAATATTAAATGTCAGCAGATTCAGAAAAGTGAAGTGTTCAACTTCCCCCTCCCGTCCTCTCCTGTCCTCTCCCGCCTCCTGGAGTCAATCATTGCACAGAACGTTCATACGTAGAACACGCTTCATGTTGACAAACGTTCCACACGTGTTATCGTCTCTATGTGCTTGTTTAACCCTTGACTGCAAGAATCTTTTTTTTATAAAAAATGTTCATACCCGTGATAGGTGATAGAATGCAGATTTCAGTCCTGAAGAATAATTAACCCAACTAAAACAAATGCCTCAATACATTTTCCTGCACAGGTCGTCATCTATAGGTACTTGTTTAACCATTTCACTGCCAGGGGACTCTTCACATTTTGTTTTTGCAGATGTGATAAAATGCACATTTTAGGCCTGAAGATGAATTAAGACGCATGTCGGGGGGGGGGGGGTGTTGGGCACCTAGGAGGACAGGTAAACCTGGGACAGATGGTGGGGGGGGGGGGGGTGTTGGGCACCTAGGAGGTACAGGTGAGCCCAGGACAGATGGCGGGTGGTGTTGGGCACCTAGGAGGGACAGGTGAGCCGTGAGCCCAGGACACATGGCGGGGGTGTTGGGCACCAAGGAGGGACAGGTAAGCCCAGGACAGACGGCGGGTGGTGTTGGGCACCTATGAGGGACAGGCAAGCCCAGGACAGATGGCGGGTGGTGTTGGGCACCTATAAGGGACAGGTAAGCCCAGGACACATGGTGGGAGATGTTGGGCACCTAGAAGGGACAGGTAAGCCCAGGACAGACGGCGGGTGGTGTTGGGCACCTATGAGGGACAGGTAAGCCCAGGACAGATGGCGGGTGGTGTTAGGCACCTATAAGGGACAGGCAAGCCCAGGACAGATGGTGGGTGGTGTTGGGCACCTATAAGGGACAGGAAAGCCCAGGACAGATAGCGGGGGGTGTTAGGCACCTAGGAAAGACAGATGAGCCCCCAAACTCATTTTGTGTTCTCCAAACCATTCTTGAATTCATCAGACGAGGCCACCTTCTTCCATTGCTCCATAGTCCACTTCTGATGCTCTCATGCCCATTGTAGATGCTTGTGGCTGTGTACAACGGTCATCAGCGACACCCTGACTGGTCTACACAGCCCCCATACACAACAAATGGTGATGCTCTGTGTGTCCCGACACCTTTCTATCAGAACAGCATTCACTTTTTTAGCAGTTTCATCTACAGTAGCCCTTCTCTTGGATCGGACTACACAAGCCAGCCATTGCTCCCCAGGTGCATCAATGAGCCTTGGATGACTCTCTCAAAGGTTTTCTGGTTTTCCTTCCTTGGACCACTTTTTGGTCGGTCCTGACCACTGCAGACGAGGAACATCCCGCAAGAACTGCAGTTGCAGTTGCTCTGACTCAGTCATCTTACAAGTTGGTCTTTGTCAAAGTCGCTCAGATCTTTACGCTTGCCCATTTTTTTGTTCTGCTTTCAACCCATCAGCTTCAGGGACAACATGTTCATTCGCTGCCTAATACAATGACTTTCAGATGCAATTGTTATGAGATAATCAATGGTATTCACATTATTTTGTCAGCGGTCAGAATGATCAGTCATTAAATATGCAAATATGCATGCAATCAAATACATATATAAAAAGATAAAATAAATAAATAATATTTTTTAAAAAATAAATATATAAATAATAATTTTATATATATATATAATTATTATTTATATATATATACAGTCAGGTCCATAAATATTGGGACATCAACACAATTCTAACATTTTTGCCTCTATACACCACCACAATGGATTTGAAATGAAACAAACAAGATGTGCTTTAACTGCAGACTGTCAGCTTTAATTTGAGGGTATTTACATCCAAATCAGGTGAACGGTGTAGGAATTACAACAGTTTGCATATGTGCCTCCCACTTGTTAAGGGACCAAAAGTAATGGGACAATTGGCTTCTCAGCTGTTCATGGCCAGGTGTGTGTTATTCCCTCATTATCCCAATTACAATGAGCAGATAAAAGGTCCAGAGTTCATTTCAAGTGTGCTATTTGCATTTGGAATCTGTTGCTGTCAACTCTCAAGATGAGATCCAAAGAGCTGTCACTATCAGTGAAGCCATCATTAGGCTGAAAAAACAAAACAAACCCATCAGAGAGATAGCAAAAATATTAGGCGTGGCCAAAACAACTGTTTGGAACATTCTTAAAAAGAAGGAACGCACCGGTGAGCTCAGCAACACCAAAAGACCCGGAAGACCACGGAAAACAACTGTGGTGGATGAGCGAAGAATTCTTTCCCTGGTGAAGAAAACACCCTTCACAACAGTTGGCCAGATCAAGAACACTCTCCAGGAGGTAGGTGTATGGGTGTCAAAGTCACCAATCAAGAGAAGACTTCACCAGAGTGAATACAGAGGGTTCACCACAAGATGTAAACCATTGGTGAGCCTCAAAAACAGGAAGGCCAGATTAGAGTTTGCCAAACGACATGTAAAAAAGCCTTCACAGTTCTGGAACAACATCCTATGGACAGATGAGACCGAGATCAACTTGTACCAGAGTGATGGGAAGAGAAGAGGATGGAGAAGGAAACTGCTCATGGTCCTCAGCATACCACCTCATCAGTGATCATGGTGGTGGTAGTGTCATGGCGTGGGCATGTATGGCTGCCAATGGAACTGCTTCTCTTGTATTTATTGATGATGTGACTGCTGACAGAAGCAGCCGGATGAATTGTGAAGTGTTTCGGGAATATTATCGGCTCATATTCAGCCAAATGCTTCACAACTCATTGGACGCTTCACAGTGCAGATGGACAATGACCCAAAGCAGACTGCAAAAGCAACCAAAGAGTTTTTTAAGGGAAAGAAGTGGAATGTTCTGCAATGGCCAAGTCCATCACCTGACCTGAATCCGATTGAGCATTTCACTTGCTGAAGACAAAACTGAAGGGAAAATGCCCCAAGAACAAGCAGGAACTGAAGACAGTTGCAGTAGAGGCCTGGCAGAGCATCACCAGGGATGACACCCAGCGTCTGGTGATGTCTATGCGTTCCACACTTCAGGCTGTAATTGACTGCAAAGGATTTGCAACCAAGTATTAAAAAGTGAAAGTTTGATTTATGATTATTATTCTGTCCCATTACTTTTGGTCCCTTAACAAGTGGGAGGCACATATGCAAACTGTTGTAATTCCTACACCGTTCACCTGATTTGGATGTGAATACCCTCAAATTAAAGCTGACAGTCTGCAGTTAAAGCGCATCTTGTTCGTTTCATTTCAAATCCATTGTGGTGGTGTATAGAGCCAAGAATGTTAGAATTGTGTCCATGTCCCAATATTTATGGACCTGACTGTATATATATATATATATTTTTTTTTTTTTTTTTTTACTTTTTTTAATTATTATTTATGTATTTATTTGTTTATTTTTTTTTCTCTGTATATATATCTGATAGCATGTATACTTTAGGAAATTTTCCATTCAAATTTTGTGTAACTTAAAACATTCTCCAGTTTTTCCTTTTAACAGTAAACCCGTGATCAGACGTACAGCCACATATGACGTTGGTGATATCATGTGACCTGTAGCTCTTGTCTTCCTCATCCCTCCCCTCTGGCTCTCAGTCCTTTCCTCAGTGTGACACTCCTTTTTTTTTTTTTTTTTTGCACTCCGTCTCTTGCACTCTTGCAGAAGTTTTGTCAATCCAAAAAATGACTCCCAAAGAATTTCTCAGGTAATTGTCGCATTGTATGCATAGAGATGCAATCTTCTTTCTAAGACAGTTTGTTACATTCATTTTGCACATATTTTTTTATTATATTTTTTTAACCTTTGATTGGTTTTGCTGAAAAAAAAAAAAATTTTTGTAGCTTGTTATTTTGTTGCTTCCGTCTGCAACATGAAAAACATAAAGAGCTGTGCAGAAAAGAGAAAATAAATAAATAATGACGCTGCAATCATGGGAGGAAACAGGAAGTGCAAAGGGTTTGAAAGTGAAAGTAACTTTGATTTTATGGCTGTCTTCCTGGTATGGTGGTAAGATTCAACGTTTATTTTATTTTACTTTGCTTTATTTTATTTAATTTTATATTACATTACTTTATTTTATTTTACTTCAGTTTATTTATTTTTGTACTTTTTTTTTACTTTATTTTATTTTACTTCACTTTGTTATTTTATTTTACTTTGCTTTATTTTATTTAATTTTATATTACATTACTTTATTATTATTTATTTCAGGTACTTATATAGCACCGTCAATTTACGCAGCATTTTACATACATATTGTACATTCACATCAGTCCCTAACCCTCAAGGGGCGTACAATCTAAGGTCCCAAACTCACATTCATACATACACTTACCGGGGCCAATTTAGACAGGAGCCAATTCACCTACCAGCATGTCTTTGGACGGTGGGAGGAAACCGGAGTACCCGGAGGAAACCCACGCAAGCACAGAGAGAACATGCAAACTCCAGGCAGATGGTGTCATGGTTGGGATTCGAATCAGCGACCCGAGTACTGCCAGGCGGAAATACTAACCATTTAGCCACTGTGCTGCTTTATTTTATTTTACTTCACTTTATTTTTTTTTACTTTATTTTACTTCACTTTACTTTACGTTATTTTATTTTATATTACATTACTTTATTTTTTTTTATTTTACTTCACTTTATTTTTTTTTACTTTATTTTACTTCACTTTACTTTACGTTATTTTATATTACATTACTTTATTTTATTTTACTTCACTTTATTTTTTTTTTTTACTTCACTTTATTTTACTTCACTTTACTTTACGTTATTTTATTTTATTTAATTTTATATTACATTACTTTATTTTATTTCACTTTATTTTTTTTTTTTTTACTTTATTTTACTTTACTTCATTTTATTTTTTATTTTATGTTCAATTACTTAACCACTTCCTGTCCGGACACTTTCACCCCCTTCCTGCCCCCAGGCCAATTTTCAGCTTTCAGCGCTATCACACTTTGAATGACAATTTCACGGTCATGCAACACTGTACCCATATTAATTTTTTAGCATTTTTTTGAGACAGATAAAACTTTATTTTGGCGGTATTTATTCACCACTAGGATTATTTTATTTTGCCCCACCCGGAAAATCATGTGTATATATATATATATATATATATATATATATATATATATGTGATTTTGCGCACCCGTGCCACCTTGTAGCTGTATTTCTGCTATAGGGCGGCGCAGAGGCGATTAATGATGAATTTAGTTTGTGATGGACAGGAAGCGATGAGAAATCTCCCCAATGGGGACACACAAAACAGGATTGTACCCACATGGAAGAAAAATATATTTTTAAATATATTTTAAAAATATTCTTCCCAAATACATTGCCATATACTGTATATGAAATGCTACAATTTTGGCCATATTCAATATATTTCAAACTATATTTCAATAAATATATATATATATATATACAGTGCATGTGGAAATGCGTTTTTATTACAAAATATTAGAAAAATATTTTTAAAAATACATTTCAAATATACTGTATGTCTTTAAAAATATAAATCTACATTTTTAGGAATGCATTTACAAATATATGTAAAAATTTATGTTAAAATTGACTTTTTTATATGTTAAAAAAAATCTGAAGAATATATTTTAAAAAAGGAATAATGACTCATAACAGAATAATAACAATGACAATGTTTTTATCACTGTTTGTGCCTTCCTGCCTTTATGACACCCCCTGACACCACCCCCCCCCCCCCAGGACAGGAAGTGAGGGGAAATCTCCCCAGTGGGGTCACTGATAAAAACAGACATCGGACAGACATGCGAAATCCCAGAAGATACATTGTAGCAATCTAATACTTTTGATACTTTGTTTTTTTCTCAAGGTAAGCGTATATATTCCCTAGAGGGTCCCAATCAAGATGGAGGAATCGAGAAGAATTCAGGCTGAAGGTGAGATATAATTCTCTGATTACAGATCACGCCTCTACCGGGGCATTTCATTCTCCACACACAATAAAAACCTGAATGGTGTGCTAGAAATGAGTTTTTGACATATGACCCCCAATATCTCCACTGCCATATGGCCCCCATATCTCCCCTGCCATATGGCTCCCAATATCTCTCCACTGCCATGTGACCCCCAATATCTCCGCTGCCATGTGACCCCCAATATCTCCCCTGCCATGTGACCTCCAATATCTCCCCTGCCATATGGCCCCCAATATCTCCACTGCCATGTGACCCCCAATATCTCCCTTACCATATGGCCCCCAATATCTCCCCTACCAAGAGACCCCCAATATCTCCCCTGTCATATGACCCCCAATATCTCCCCTGCCATGTGTCCCTCAATATCTCCCCTGCCATGTGACCCCCAATATCTCCCCTGCCATGTGACCCCCAATATCTTCCCTGTCATGTGACCCCTCAATATCTCACCTGCCATGTGACCCCCAATATCTCCACTGCCATATGGCCCCCAATATCTCCCCTGCCATATGGCTCCCAATATCTCCACTGCCATGTGACCCCCAATATCTCCACTGCCATGTGACCCCCAATATCTTCACTGCCATGTAACCCCCAATATCTCCCCTGCCATGTGACCTCCAATATCTCCCCTGCCATATGGCCCCCAATATCTCCACTGCCATGTGACCCCCAATATCTCCCTTACCATATGGCCCCCAATATCTCCCTTCTACCAAGAGACCCCCAATATCTCCCCTGTCATATGACCACCAATATCTCCCCTGCCATGTGTCCCTCAATATTTTCCCTGCCATGTGACCCCCAATATCTCCCCTGCCATGTGACCCCCAATATCTGCCCCGCCATGTGACCCCTCTGATGTAATGGTGGGGTTTTTTATGTTTATGATGTTATGGGAGGACCTCAAATGTGATGGGGGGACCTCTGATGTGATGGGAAGACCTCTGATGATGTTATGGGAGGATTTCTGATGTGATGGAGGACCTCTGATGTGATGTGGGACCCTCTGATGTGATGGGGGGACTTCTGATGTGATGGGGGACCTCTGATGTGATAGGAAGGCTTCTGATGTGATTGGAGGACTTCTGATGTGATGGAAGGACCTCTGATGTGATGGGACCTCTGATGTGATGGGAAGACTTCTGATGTGATGGGAGGACCTCTAATGTGATGGGGGACATCTGTTGTGATGGGAAGACTTCAGATGTGATGGAGAACCTCTGATATGATGGTGGACCTCTGATATGATGTGATAACTATGTTGTGAAGGGAGGACTTCTGGTGTGATGGGGGAGGACTCTATGTAATGGAAAGATTTATGATGTTATGGGAGGACTTCTGATGTGATGGGGGGACCTCTGATGTAATGGAAAGACTGCTGATGGAGGACTTTTGATTGATTGAGGACCCTCTGATGTGATGGGAAGATCTCTGATGTGATGAGAGGACTTCAGGTGTGATTAGAAAACCTCTGATGTGAAGGGAGGACTTCTGGTGTGATGGGGGGAGGGCCAGATGTGATGGGAAGACTTCAGATGTGATGGAGGATCTCTGATATGATGGGGCAACCTCTGATGTGAAGGGAGGACTTCTGATGTGATAGAGGGACCTCTGATGTGAAGGGAGGACTTCTGATGTGATGGCGGGCTTGTGATGTGAAGATAATTTCATCGAGGTGGTTGTGTACATCGTCCCAGGCTCAGGTTTCTCATAGATAAGTAACATTTACATTGTACACTGGGGAACCTCGAGATTTTGCACAGTAAAAAAAGGTTGGGAAATGCTGGATTAGACCATCACGATGTACAGTAGAAGCACTTCATGCACATTCATATTTGAAGCGAACATACGTTTTTTAGTTTACATTCTAAAATATCGTTTTTTTTTTCCAGTGGAGAAGTTGGGTCGAACGCTCTCTGAGTACGAACACCATGCGCTTAGGATGATGTACGAGTATTTCAAAGGCGATATCATCTGTGTCCTGGAATATCTACCTACTCACAGCTTCCTGTGTGAGTCTCAGAATTACATGAGCTTGAACACCGAGGTAAGGAGTACAACGGGGACTTTATAGCACCATCAAGTGTAGGATTTTGTCTTCAGAACGAGTCTTCATGCACATCGGACATTTTTACAGCGGCTGTTTTTGTCTTTTGGCGTTTTTTTCTCTACAGCCAGTGAACTCCCTCAGCGTGTTCCCCTATGTGTCCATACACACCATACATGGTTCGAATTCCAAACAATTTTTCATCCGAAAATCGAAAACGTAGTTCGCTCAGTAATCCGATGGCGCCATCATTGATTTAAAAAAATCAGCCGACCAAATCATAAAGTTCCCCCCATATAACAGGCAAAACTTCTGTTCCTTCCAGGTCACGGCTCATGCGCTTTTAGGAAAAATGATCGTACGATTTGACCATCATGCCCGATCACCGAAAAGGGGAGGAACCACGAAAATCGCCCGGTGCCATTGACCAACTAACAGAACAAAAATCGGCCAATTATTCTTAGGTCTGGACAAAAAATTGGTTGAATTTCGACCCATGTATGTCCGGCCTTAGGCTGTAATCAGAGGTTTTTGGCAGGGGGCGTTATTTGGCTGGAAAAAAAAAAAAACCAGAACTGGTGTTTTTTTTGATGTAAAAGTGCTGAAAAATGTAGCAAAAAACAGCAAAATGCTGTAAGCTGAGGCAAACCAGCGTTTTTGGACTTTTTTTGAGCCAAGAAACCCCTTTTTTTTGGGTAAAAAAAGTGGAAAAACGTAAACGTGGAAAAAAAGCGGCTAAACGCAAAAAAACACTGGAAAACTCAGGTTTTTAACGTGACTTTACGCAGCTAACGCTACCAGCGTCGCTAAAGCCCCCCCCCCCCCCCCCCAGTGTGCATAGAGCCTGAGGGTTGTAAGTTTTTTATAAAAATTGTGTAAAAATTTTGCGCTGCACAAATTGACGGCACTATACAAGTACCTGAAATAAATGAAAAAATACACAGACCTCTATTCATTCATATGCAGTGCAGCTGAGGCTGCAGGAAAAAGGGAATGAGGACTCTATGTCTTCAGCCCCTTTGTTTGAAAAAAAGAGACATCAGTGGTCTGAGGTCACCAAAGCCCCCCCCCCTCAAAAAAAAATATTAAAAATAACAATTGGTGGTATCAGCAGAAGCATTTATAGTTTAACCCCGTCACGCCTAAGGGTAAAACAAATCTAAATGCCTAAGCACAATTTTGCAACATTGACGTGTTAGTAAAACCGTCCATATCATCACAACTACTTCGTACATCCAGGTGGATTATACCCAGGAGCAGACTGACAACTCATGGGGACCCCGGGCAATAGGGGATCATGGGGCCCCTGTGTCATTGCCCACACTCAAAGCACGTCCCAAAAAAGCCTATAAAAAAGGTACCAGGGGCATTTAATGAGGCCCCCTATTTTCCCCGGGCCCTCGGGCAGTGCCGAGTGCTCCAATGGTCAGTCCGCCCCTGATTATACAGTTTTATATAGTTTTTTTCAGGACAAATTGGGCTTTCATTTGGTGGTAAATGGTAACGGATATCTCCTGATTTTTTTTTTATTATCAAAGGAAAACTGGACCAAAATAGTAAAAAAAAAAATTTTTTTTTAATTTTGCTGTGTGTTTCTTGTTACTACTGTAACCTATCGCCAAAGAATAACAAATATTCCATATATGTGATCGCAGCGATACCACATATGTTATGTTATTTGTTGTTTTTACCCGTAGTACAGCCCAGAAACAATAGTGCGCATTTTGTTTTTTTTTTTTTTACCTAAAACACACTGACACCAATTTTTTTTTTTTTAAATCCTGACCTTTGACCCTGACCTTTTGACCCCTGACCCAAACACTTACCCTGGCACTGAACTAGATCAAACCTTGAACTAGGTATTTTTTCTTTAATTTAATGAAATTTTTTAATATTTATTTATCTTTTTTTTTTGTTACCAAACTTTTTTTTTCCCCCTATGCCAGGAGTTAGAGAGATACAATGTATAATATAATATATAATGTATATATAATGTATATAATGATACAATGTATCTCTCTCCTCCATCATAGAGAGAAAAAAAAAAACAAGGGGGCCGGGCTGTACAATGGCTGATCACTGTGATATTCAATCAGAGGCTATCACAGCAATCATGTGACCCGGAATCGGGAGTGCCGGGTCCTGATCGATAGAACGGGACCCAGGGCTCTCAGTGGTACCGCGGTCTTTGTGCTTGGAGCGTGCTGTGTGGGGCGTTCCCCAGCAGAAAGACAGGTACGCAAATATGCGGCTCCACGGAAAACAGCCCAGTTCTGAGAGGCCGCATATTTGTGTGATGTTGACGTCAAGGGGTTAAAGAAAAAAAAACCTATTGGATGGGTATCTTGATGAACACAATATACAGGGATACGGGCAATCTCTCCAATGGGAGCACAGACAAAAGAGTGGTGAGGGGGTTAGAACTGTTTTTATTGTTGTCTTTACCTTTATGTATCAGCGATTGTCACACCTACACATGTGCAGAACAAAAAAATTGGTTTCGTTAATTGTACTCGTAACGAGATTTGTTATGTTTAATTTATTGTTTGGCGACCGGCTTTGAATTCAAAGCATTTAAATAAAAAATATCAAATTGATCTGAATTCATTGTGAAGAATAGCTGGTTCTTTTTTTTTTTCCAAAAAATGCTGGTTCTATTCTATTCAAAATTCGAATTTTTCGGAATATGGCTCTATTCTATTCTATTTTTTTCTATTCTATTCTACACTATTCTATTATTTTCTATTCTAGCATATTCTATACTATTCCTTTATATTCTGTTTTATTCCGTTCTTTTATTTTCTATTCTATTTGTTTTTACTCTATTCTTTTCTATCCTGTTGTATTTTATTCTATTCTTTTCAATATTCGAATTTCAGAAGACTGCTATAATCTCTCTATTTTATTTTATTCTGCTTTAATCCATTCTATTTTTTTTTCCATTCTATTCTACTCTATTCTTTTATTTTCTATTCTATTATTTAACTTTTTTTTATTTGATTCTATGTTGCTTATTCTACTCTTTTCATTTTGAAATTGAATAATTTGTTGTTTCGGCCAAAATTTTCTTTGTTATTTCAGATTAGTTTAGATTCGGTACTATTGTAATTCGGAAATTCGTAATTTTGTCCGAAACGAACCCACACATGTGTAGTCGGATTCCCTATTTCTTGCATGGGAGTCAAAGGGACAAAAAGTGAAAGAAAACCTCCCCAGTGGAGTCCCAGACAGAAATAAAAAACAAATCATTACAAATAATTCCATGTTTCCCTGTTTTTTTTCCAAAGAAATGTGTTGAATTTAGGTATAACTAACCAATTAATTAACCAATTAACATTTTTGAGGATATTCATCCTCCTATACTGTGTCATTGGTGCCAATGAAGGAAGAGTCTCAATCAGCTGGGGCCATGTAGCTGTATGTAACAAGCACTAAGGATGCTGTTGACCTCATTGATCTAAAATGGCCACATGGCCATATCAGGTCTGCGACATCGTCCATTAAGGGCCATGTAGTCATATTAGGTCGATAATGGCACCATCCTCCATGTCCATTAGTTACGTGAGGCTGTGGTTTGTGGAATCCCACAACTGTAGCTGACTTGGCCAGTGGCCGGCTCTCACTTGACCGTTTCCTACAGATTCAACCAAACCGAGTTCGGCCCACACCATCGCTCGACGACCCTAGTGCCAACGTGTCCTGTGAATGCTTGGTCTTCCCCAGCCTCAACTAACAACCCATGACATGACCCGTTCAAACACCCAACACTTTTCAGTACTCACAGACTATCTACCACCCACCTTGTGTTTGTCTTGTGATACAGTTCTCTGCTGTCGGCGTCTGTTTTGTCCTCTTTCACATAAAGTTTCTTTTACTTTGGTTATCCATTCTGATTTACCAATACAATCTTCTGGAACTTTCCTTGTACTTTAGCACTACAGAACAATGGAGAAGCAAATTGGTCCAGAAGCCTTTGCGCAATTGCTGCTAGAAGACGTTCTGGCCATGGGGAGAGATGCCGTCATCGGGTTCTTCAAAACTCTGTGCGCTCTACAAAAAGACCACCAGCACCCAAATTTGTTGGGAGTTATCGACGAGATCAACGTGGCAGATCAGAGTGGTAGGTTGTACCCATACGATGCATCCTTTGGTTTCAAACTTGGAAAACAATTAATATTTCTGAAGATATTTTATTTAAAGAGTTGTGGTGCAGAGAGACGGAACGCTCAATGCAGTGTTAGCCTGCATCATGGGTGCGTCATTGGCACACAAGGCATGCAAGGGTGCCCGGTTTAAAAAATATGTATCTAAAGCATTTTTTGGTTAAAACCGGTCAGTTATTTTGAGGTTTGGATTTTTTTTTTTTAGTTAAGGAGATGAAATGTTCTCTAAGATACATTATCTTGCCAAAATTATTGGGACAACCCCTCCAAATCATTGGATTCAGGTGTTCCAATCACCTCCATGGCCAACCCCGATAGCAACACCTTTGGGATGAATTAGAGCGGAGACTGTGAGCCAGGCCTCCTCCCCCAACATCAGTGCCTGACCTGACAAATGTGCTTCTGGAAGAATGGTCCAACCTTCCCATAGACACCCTTTCCTAAACCTTGTGGACGGCCTTCCCAGAAGAGTTGAAGCGGTTATAGCTGCAAAGGGCGGGGCCAACTCAATATTGAACCCTACGGACTAAGACTGGGAGGCCATCAAAGTTCATGTGTGTGGAAAGGCCGGCGGCCCAATACTTTTGGACATCTAGTGTAGTTGTCACCAGAATAAATTTTGGCTTTTTCTCATTTTCAGTCCTAGCCACAACAGACAATGGACGGTGGCAGGAAGTGGAGGTGTCTACGGTTGTGAGAATTCCCGACACTAACTACGGTTTTGTCATGCAACCCTTTTCATACTTGAGGACCAGCAATGTACCCGTACGTCTCCAGACGTTTGGTGATTATACCGGGATGATGCTTTCAGCTGCAGGCATCATCCCAGTATTGTTTTTTCTTTTAAAAGAAATCCAAGTGTCTAAGTAGCTACTGGATCTCTTTTAAAAACAGCAGGAGGGGACACATCAGCCGGCTGATCATAGAGGCAAACAGAGGTCAGATCGGCTCTGATCTCCTCTATGATACAGGAAATCGGAAGTGATGAACATTCATCACTTCTGGTTTTCCCGGATGTAAACTGCGCCATTTTTAAAATGGGAAAGAATCTGATTACACCAATCTTGGTGAGATTTGAGGGTCTTATAGACCCCCCGATTTCAACCATAGAGAGTGCCTGTCACTGCCTATTGCTATCACAGGGGATATGTAAAAAAAAAATAAAGCGACAGTATAAAAAATAAATAAATAAAAAATTTAAGAACCCCCCCCCCCCATGCTTGCACGTAAAAGGTGAACTAACGTGCCCCGCAAACATAAACTGCAATCGTCCCACACATGTGAGGTATCCCCGCAATCTTCGCATCATGGGTAGTAATTCTAGCACCAGACCTCCTGCGTAATTCTAAAGTGTTAACCTGTAAAAGCTTTAAAAGCATCGACTATGGCTAATGAAATTTACGTTGATGGTCGCTGTCGTTTGACATGTTTGGTATCTATTTACTCGGCCTCTTTTAAATTGTAAGAAACACTTGGGTATTGTGTTTTGTTCAATTAAAAAAAAAAAGTGTATTTTGTTCCAAAAAATTGCGTTTGAAAATCCGCTGTGTAAATACTGTGTGACACAAAATGTTGCAACACCCACCATTTCATTCTCCGGGGCCTCTGCCTAGAAGTATAATGTTTGGGGGTTCTAAGTAATTTTCTAGCAAAAAAGATTTTTTTTACATGTCAACGAAGGTGTCAGAAAAGGGTGGTCTTCAAGTGGTTAAGAGAGTTCCTTAACTATGCATGTTGTCAGTTTTCAATGGTAGTGAGCCCTTGCAGAAAGCCAACTTGGGGTTCCCCAGGGTGCAGAGTCTAAGCCCCAGTCGGTTTCCTCAACAGGGCCCCTGATCGTGGGGATGGACTTGCAGCAAACTGGAACCAGGTCATGGCTCCCAAGTACGCCCAACTGATGATGCAGAAACCACTTGCGTGTGCAGAGTATAGATGCCAGGGGACATAAGGGGATCCAGGAAACAAGCCGAAGTCAGGGCTCCTGATGGTGGGTATGGGCTTTCAGCAAACTGGAACCAGGTTATGGAACCCAAGTACACACAGCTGATACAGAGACTACACGTGTGTGCAGACTACAGATGTCAGAAGATAGAATGGGATCCAGGAAACAACCTGAAGTCAGGACCCCTGATGGTGGGGATGGATTTGCAGCAAACTGGAACCAGGTCATAGCCCTCAAGTACGCCCAGCTGATGATGCAGAAACCACTCGCATGTGCAGTGTACAGATGCCAGGAGACAGAAGAAGGATCCAGGAACAAGCCAAAGTCAGGGCTCCTGATGGTGGGATGGACTTGCAGCAGACTGGAACCAGGTCACGGCCCCCCAAGTACGCCCAGATGATGATACGAGGACCACACATGTCTACAGAGCATAGATGTCAGGAGACAGAAGAGGATCCAGTTAAAAGCCAAAATCAGGGCTCCTGATGGAGGAGATGGACTTGCGGCAGACTGGCCCCCCAAGTACTCCCAGCTGATGATGCAGAAACCACTCCCGTGTGCAGAGTACAGATGCCAGGAGACAGAAGAGGATTCGGGAAACATGCCAAAGTCAGGGCAGGCAGCAGACAAGCAAAAATAGAAGATGAAGCTGGGGTCAACACATGGGTAGTCAGGCACAGAATACAAGTAATACAAGGCAAAAAAGCAGCTCAGAGCAACTAGGAAGTTTCTCAGGCAATGTGGGCTGCACTGAGCATGTCTATACAGTATATAGGGAAGCAGACTGGGAGGCCTCCAATCCTTGAGGACCATAATCTTCACACAGTGGTGACCCCAACAATCATCATTTTAAATAGATTAAAGTACAAGTTACACTCGATGTACCGGTCATTTATTCAGGGTAATTTCCTGATTTGGGGAAAGAAAAACCACTGTACGTAGGCAAAGGACAGTTGGGTATGGTAGTATCTAACAGAAACCTATAGTCACATTTCTCAAAGAACGGTACAAACCACGCACCACAGCCCTTTTTTTCTTTGTCTGAACTGAATGCCCAATCTTTACCAATATTTGTCATTGAGCGCCAGGATAAAGCCTCATTGCCCCCCCGGTGACTTACCTCTATTCCTGCACTTTTCTTTCAGATGTCATGTTATTGGCACACATCATTGAGGACACAACAGATTCTACAGTGCCTCCAGAGCAGAAAGGTAAGTTTTGTTTTTTTTTTTTTTTTTAAATCCCAACTGAACGGCCTTTATTATTATAACATAGTCAGGCCAAATATACAGTCATAAATATGCCTCTTTGTTTATATCAGCTAAGTGCTGCAACAATATCCTGTGCTGGAGCGCTGGGCTTTGGAGGGGCCGGGAGTGGCTCATTGAGAGGTCAAGCCAGCTGCCACTCCAGGCACATGGGTGGATACCATCATTAAAGACGGGATCTCTCCAGAACCTGGACTGGCTAAGTGACATTGGTGGACAGTGGACTTTAGCCCGCTGTCGGATGAAAATGAGCAACAGAACTAAGTGCACTCCTGTGATCCATAGATGTAGGGCCAAAAGGGCTTTGACTTTAGCCCACTGTTGGCTGAAAATTGGTCACACCATTGGCTATAAAGTAGACTATCTGATATTATCACCTTCACTGAGCAGTCCATCTATTAAAAAGAGAAGTGTGGGAATTCCCTGTCACCTCTACACTGAGAACTGTTCATTCAGTTCTTGTTCTTCAGTGAGCAGAGTGGTGACTGTCAGTCACTGGCTCTGTGCTCTTCCCCTCCAGCGCTCACTCACTGGAGTGCCTAGCTTTGGAGGGGGCGGGAGTGGCTCATTGAAAGATCAAGCCAGCTGCCGCTCCAGGCACATGGGTGGATACCAACATTAAAGGCGGGATCTCTCCAGAACTTGGACTGGCTAAGTGACGTTGGTGGACAGTGGACTTTAGCCCGCTGTCGGATGAAAATGGGTCACAGAACTAAGTGCACTCCTGTGATCCATAGTAAAAGTAGGGCCAAAGCCCTTTCCAAAGCCTACTTCTCCTTTAAGTTGCCCTTCTTACCCGACAACCTGGGCCTCATTGAGAGGTCGAGCCAGTTGCCGCTCCAGGCACATGGGTGGATACCAACATTAAAGACGGATCTCTCCAGAACCTGGACTGGCTGAGTGACGTCAGTGGACAGTGGACTTACGGCCCGCTGTCGGATGAAAATGGGTTACAGAACTAAGTGCACTCCTGTGATCCACAGACGTAGGGCCAAAAGGGCTTTGACTTTAGCCCACTGTTAGCGGAAAATTGGTCACACCATTGGCTCTAAAGTAGACTATCTGATATTATCACCTTCACTGAGCAGTCCATCTATTAAAAAAAAAGTGTGGGAGTTCCCTGCCACCTCTACACTGAGAACTGTTCATTCAGTTCTTGTTCTTTAGTGAGCTGAGTGGTGACTGTCAGTCACCAGCTCTCTGCTCTGCCCCTCCAGCGCTCACTGGAGTGCTAGGCTTTGGAGGGGGCAGGAGTGGCTCATTGAGAGGTCGAGCCAGCTGCCACTCCAGGCACATGGGTATATCCCAACATTAAAGACGGGATCTCTCCAGAACCTGAACTGGCTAAGTGACATCAGTGGACTTTAGCCCGCTGTCGGATGAAAATGGGTCACAGAACTAAAAGCACTCCTGTGATCCATAGTAAAAGTAGGGCCAAATCCCTTTCCAAAGCCTACTTCTCCTTCAAGTTGCCCTTGTCACCTCACAACCCGGGCCTCCATAATTATGCCTTCTGAGCACTTGTCTATCCTATCATCAGTTTAATTGCTTGCCGTCACCAGTTTTGGTCTGATGTTTGCTGGCCCAACCATTATCATGCATGTACTTCTTTCAAATTCTATCCGTGTTCTTGCTTGGAATACTCATCATCTCTGTTTATCCCTGATGTCACAGTTGTCACAAGCACAGTCAAATCTCAGATTTTACGACACTGGAACAGCGATGAGAAATTTTCCAATGGGGAAACCCGTTTCCAGTGACAAATGTATAAAAGACAATTATGCCTCACTTTAGGCCAGCGGTGTCCAAACTATGGCCCTCCAGGTGTTGAAGAACTGCAAGTCCCATGAGGCCTTGCAAGACTCTGACATCCACAGGAAGACTCCCAGAGGCATGACGGGACTTGTAGTACTTCAACAGCTGGAGGGCCATAGTATGGACACCCCTGCTTTAGGCAGATTAAAGCTGGCTCTACACAAGTTGATTCTGAATAAAAATTGGTACGAATGTATAAAACCAAGAACAAAAATATAATATTGTGACTTAGTCCTCAGATGTGTTGGCTGCATTCCTCAGATGTGTAATATTGTGACTTACCAGTCCTCAGATGTGTTGGCTGCAGTCATTTTCTTTTTTTTTCTGGGCTTTATTTGCTTTATTTTCACCTGTAATCCTGCTAGTAGCACAGTTCCTGTCCTATGGTGACAACGCTCATTCACTGTACTGTATCTGCGGAGGACAACATTGTCTATTTTGGACTGGAATGCAAAACATATTCCTCATCTCATAGGTAGGTGGTGTTTGGTAGTGTAGTCCAACAAAAGTGAGCTGGGAACAATGTAACTGATAAGAATGTTGCCCAGGCACCATTTATAGCACCACATTTTTTTTTAAACCCCAAAAACTTGTGGGAGGAAGGTTTCGTACCTCTGTAAAGTTTTAATCCTGTGGAGATTTCACATCATATACTGTGCTGCTGACTGTAACGGAACCGCACCCCGACTGCACTAGGGTATTTCCGTTAGACTCCCGCTTCCCTGTCTGAACACAGATCCATGGACACCACCGCTGACCAAACAAGACTAGACACACCAGTCTTGTATTAAAACAGGAAATAGACTGCTTTATTTTAACACAGACACAAGATATACACATTCAAGGGAACAACCCACCTCCCTGCATATGGACACAGGGCATGGCAAACCAAATCTAGCAACCAGAGACACATCAGCAGACACCCCCCACCAAGCCAATATATAAACACATACATCCCATAATAGTTTGCTCCCAAGCAAGACACACAATAGAACAATGGGATACAACCACATGGCAGTAAACAGGGAACAACCCACCTCCCTGCATATGGACACAGGGCGTGGCAAACCAAATCTAGCAACCAGAAACAGGGCCTCCCCACCCCTCCAAAGGGGGCTGTGTTCCATGGGCCCCCCACCCAAAGTCACTCCCGTCACACTGACCAAACAGGAAATAACGACATTCCCCAAACGAGGACATAGATGGAAATAAATAAAACAAAATAAATATAATAATAAAATAAATATAATAAAAAATAAATAATAAAATAAGTTTCTCACTCTTCTCCTCCCTAAAAAAAAAAGAATCGGTTACTGCCTGGGCCTCCATTGGAGAGGTTATTCTAGCTTCCTGTTTTGGTGACCATGCATCAAGTGAGGGAGAATCTCATCATTGACTACAAAAAACAGCAATAAAACCCTAGAGAGGTTCTAACCCCTCCTCGCTCTATCCAAAATCATCAAAAAAGAATTGTACATGATGGAATATAGTATATATATATATCTACTATCCTTGTAAAATGCTGTCTTTAAAGTATTGAATTCCTTTTTGTGTTGTTTAGAAATCTGGACTCACCATAAAAGTCATCTGCTGAAGATAACACGGACTCTTGTGGAGAATAAACCTCCGGGATCGACGTGGAATCAACAGGGATTTCCAATCTCTGAGCGCTATTTGGATCTAATAGTTGTTTCTACTTATCAACTTAAACAGCGTTCTCAGCATGAGATCTTATACACCGGTAGTCAACATGAACTTTTTTGGAAGCAAGCCAAACACGGCCTGGAACGCATTAGCATCGACAAGCTATTCCGCTGGTGCCACCGATCTGAATGCATGCCACGTGCCGTCTTGGTGAGCGGAGTGCCGGGAGTAGGAAAGACCACCATGATGCAGAAATTTGTCTTTGACTGGGTGAACGGCAGCCTGTATCAGAGGTTCAATTTTGTTTTTTTCTTCAAATTTCGGGACCTCAATCGACATAATAAAGAGATCACCTTGGAGGAGATGATTTGTACGGAGTATCCGTATCTGGAGATTTATCTTAGCGACATCTTCCAAAATCCAGAAAAATTGCTCTTCATACTTGATGGCTTAGATGAAAGCAATCACCACATAGATTTCAAAGCAGGTCCACTGTGCAGAAACACAAAGCAACCGGTACAACTTGGTTCAATTGTGGTTAGTTTGGTGAAACAATCTCTACTCAAGGGATGTTCTGTCTTGATGACCAGTCCGCCCAACAAAACTGGCAGACATCAATACCAGTGACTTCCAGAGATTATCGGAGATTGTGGGGTTCTTTCCCGCAGAGAGAAGGAAGTATTTCAACAATTTTTTTGACAATCCAGATTTGGCAAAAAAGGCTTTTCATTACGTTAGAGAGAACGGGACATTGTACACATTCTGTTACATCCCAACATACTGCTGGATTGTCTGCACAGTGCTGTCAATGAGCTTTAGAAACCAATCCAACATGGATCAGCTGATGGAATCGTTGCCCAAAACGGTGACACAACTCTTTGTGACCTTTGTCTCTAACCTTCTGGCCAATCACAGCCAAACTGTCGACAAAGACGAAGCTAAAAAAACTGCTCAAATCCATGGGGAAGATGGCAGAACATGGCGTCATGAACCATATTCTTACATTTGAGAGGAGAGATCTGGATTCATTCGACCTTAGATCTTTGGAACATCTTCAATCAAGCTTCATGGTGGAATCTAAACAGTCCTCTTATGTGACTTATTCCTTCTTCCATCTCACCATTCAAGAATTTGTGGGCGCCTTGTCTCATTTCATTGACTATTCTCCAGAAGGACTAAGGTCTTCCATCGAGAAAGCCTGTTCCTTTGACGATAATCGAGGAGAACTCTTTCTCCGTTTTCTCATCGGACTTTCTCATAATACCACCAGATTTCTTTTGGCTGAGTATCTTGATGCACGTGCTTCAAATGCAGCCAAGCAAGTGATCAATTGGCTGAGTGATTTGATTTCATCATACAACATGACAGGAGGTTCAGATGATGACACAAGAGAAAGCTGATGAATATTTTCACCTACCTTTATGAGTCTCAGACAGATGCTCTGGTAGCACGTTTGCTCAATTCGATGACAAATTTTGACTTTTCTGAATTTCACTTGGCACCATTGGACTGCACGGTGTTGAGGTTTATCCTCAAGATAAGCAAGAACACAGAAAGTCTTGATTTAGACTCTTGTTTCATCCATAGTGAGGGCTTGGAGCGTCTTGGTACAATTCTACATACAGTGAAAGATCTTAGGTAAGCACAATCTACACAGAGGAAACATCCGAGCTCCTGACTTCTTCTCTTGAATAGATCCTTCATCAGGATGACGAATGTTTCACTTTGACATTCATAGAGCAAAAGGATGAGAGCCTCAAGTCATAAAGATTGGTACAGATTCAGTGTTGGAGCCTCTTTTCCGTAATCATGGTGTCCGTCTGAAATTAGGCTTGGAATCCAGTAGCTATAGCAGTAGCAGAAGTGGACTGACAACTCATGGGGCCCCCGGGCAATAGGGGATCATGGGGCCCCTGTGTCCTTGTCCAAATTCAAAAAAGCCTATGAAAAAGGTACCAGGGGCATCTCATGGGGCCCCCTACTGACCCCGGGCCCTCGGGCAGCGCCCGAGTTTCGAAATGGTCAGTCCGCCACTGAGCAGTAGAGAGTTTCCCACTGGCCAACAGGACAGGTATACAAGTAGGTCACCCTTACGGATGACATGGGCTCACCCGGTCTAAGTACTAACCAATATTCTCCAGAGCTCCTGATGGTGGGTATGGGTTATGCTGCCTGTTAGCGCCAGGTTACGACCCTTAGGATCACTCCACCAGGAGGTGAGCAAGCCGGGGTCCAGTAGCAAAAATATAATTTTATATATATATATATATATATATATATATATATATATATATATATATATATATATATATACACACACATACACACACATGTATAAAAAATATATATATGTACACACACACACACATGTATTTATATATAGATTTATACACATACACTGTATGTTGAAATGCGTTTTTATTACAAAATATATATGAAAAATATTTTTAAAAATAAATTTTCAAATATACTGTATGTCTTTAAAAATACATTTAATCTACATTTTCGAAATGCATTTACAAATATCTGTAAAAATATATGTTAAAATGACTTTTTGATATGTTGATTTTAGAAATATTCTTCCCAAATATATTGAGATATATTTGAAATACTACATATTTGGCTGTATTCAATATATTTCAAAATATATTTCAATAAATAAATATATAGTATATTTAGTATAGTGTATGTGTGTGCATATATATATATTATTATTTTATAGTATTTATAAAGCGCCAAATAGTTCGCTCAGCACTGTACATTACAATATATATACACTATATGTTGAAATGCGTTTTTGTTACAAAATATATGAGAATAATTTTTAAAAATACATTTTCAAATATACTGCATGTCTTTAAAAATACATAATTTACATTTTCGAAATGCATTTACAAATATATGTAGAAATATGTGTGAAATGACTTTTTTATATGTTAAAAAATCTGAAGAATATATTTAAAAAATATATATTTTAAAAATATCTTTCATATATTCTGTAATATATAAAAAATGCATTTCAATATAATATATATATATATATATAGATAGATAGATATATATAATAGATATATATAGATAGATAGATATAATGTACTAGAAATAGATATATTTAGATGAAATATATTGAATATAGGCCAAAATTGTAGTATTTCTGAAATATATGTCAAATATATTTACGGGTAAAAATATTTTTTTTGGGAAAATATATTTCAAATATATTTTTTCTTCCATGTGGGTCATATTCTGCATAGAGCACAAAATCAAATGAATTTTCCATCTCATCAATACCAACTAAAAAAAAAAAAAAAAAAGCCCATTTGAACAGTGACATCTGCTGATTATGTAGCCAACAGATTTTAATTTCTGCTGTGAATGTGATCCAGAATTTACAAACTTTCAATAGTTGTACTTATTCCGTACAGGCTCTCTAACAACGACCTGAAGGATGATGACATGAAGATCATTCATGGTATACTACTGAACCCTGACTGCAAGATCCAAAAACTGAGGTTAGTTTTTATCGTACTTTAAGTATAACTAAATTGCACTTTGGCTGAGATCAAGTGTAGTATCTGTTCTTACCAGTGCCCAGTAGGGGGCGCTCTGCCATCATTCTTGCCTTTTTTTTTTTTATATATTGAATATGGCCAAAATTGTAGTATGTGAAATATATGTCAATATATTTGGGAAGAATATTTTTCAAATATATTTTTCTTCCGTGTGGGTCTGTCAGATATTTTGAAGGGTCAGACTTCATATATATATATATATATATATATATATATATATATATCCCTTGAGGGTTAGGGACTGATGTGTATATACAATATATATGGAAAGCGCTGTGTAAATTGACGGCGCTATATAAGTACCTGAATTAAATAAATAAATATATATATATATATATATATTTTTTTAATATATTGAATATGGCCAAAATTGTAGCATTTCAAATATATGTCAATATATTTGGGAAGAATATTTTTAAAATATATTCAAAATATATCTTTCTTCCATGTGGGTCTGTCAGATGTTTTGAAGGGCCAGACTTCAGATTATATATATATATATATATACACCGTATATACTCGAGTATAGGCCGACCCGAATATAAGCCGAGGTACCTAATTTTACCACAAAAAACTGGGAAAAACTATTGACTCGAGTATAAGCTGAGGGTGGGAACACCAGTGGGAAGAATCGTGCCTCATCATTGGTATCAGTGGGAGGAATAGTGCCCCATCATTGGTATCAGTGGGATGAATAGTGCCCCATCATTGGTATCAGTGGGAGGAATAGTGCCCCATCATCATTGGTATCAGTGGGAGGAATAGTGCCCCATCATTGGTGTCAGTGGGAGGAATAGTGCCCCATCATTGGTATCAGTGGTAGGAATAGTGCCCCATCATTGGGAGGAATAGTGCAGGTATCAGTGGGAGGAATAGTGCCCCAGTGTCAGTGGGAGGAATAGTGCCCCATCATTTGAGGAATATAGTGCCCCATCATTGGTGTCAGTGGGAGGAATAGCGCCCCATCATTGGTGTCAGTGGGAGAAATAGTGCCCCATCATTGGTATCAGTGGCAGGAATAGTGCCCCATCATTAGTATCAGTGGGGGGAATAGCACCCCATTATTGGTGTCAGTGGAATAGTGCCCCATCTTTGGTGTCAGTGGGAGGAATAGTGTCCCATCATTGGTGTCAGTGGGAGGAATAGTGTCCCAACATTGGTGTCAGTGGGAGGAATAGTATCCCATCATTGGTGTCAGTGGGGGGGGTGGAGGAATAGTGCCCCATCGTTGGTGTCAGTGGGGGGGAGGAAAAGTGCCCCATCGTTGGTGTCAGTGGGGGGAAGGAATAGTATCCCATGATTGGTGTCAGTGGGGGGTGGAATAGTGCTCCATGATTGGTGTCAGTGGGGGGTGGAATAGTGCCTCATCATTGGTGTCTGTGGGGGGAGGGGGGGGGAATAGTGCCCAATCGTTGGTGTCAGTGGGGGGGAGGAAAAGTGCCCCATCGTTGGTGTCAGTGGGAGGAATAATGCCCCATCATTGGTATCAGTGACACCAATGATGGGGCACTATTCCTCCCACTGACACTTGCTGACCCCTGTTCCAGTATGGTGCTGCTGCAGCCAGCATATGTGGTTGCAGCAGCACCTAAGCACGGCACACTTACCTGCATCTCCTTCACTCAAATTTCGCGGGGCCGCTCAGCTCCGCCTCCTCGCCGGTGATTGGCCGCCTGTGTGCCTTTCCTGAGCTACAGTTCTGGCGGCCAATCACCGGTGAGAAGGCGGAGCCGAGCAGCCGCGCGAACATCCAGTGGACGAACCGAATGAAGGAGCAGCCGCGCTTCCTGGACCGGATCGTCGTGGAACCGGAGCCAGGTAAGAGACAGCAGCCCCCTGCCCACCCCTGTACTTACCGTAGTTTCCCTTCTGTTGGAAGGGGGGGGGGGGGGGAGCCATCTGCAGACGTTGACTCGAGTATAAGCCGAGGGGGGCCGTTTTTCAGCACAAAAAATGTGCTGAAAAACTCGGCTTATACTCGAGTATATACGGTATATATATACACATTTTTTTTTTTTTTCTTTTAATATATTGAATATGGCCAAACATGTAGTATTTCAAATATATGTCAATATATTTGGGAAGAATATTTTTAAAATATATCAGATTTCATCTCCAGTCTGAGGAAAAACGCTCTGTCGTACAATTCCTGTTCATTGTTGGCCGAAGCAGTAAGAGGGAATCAGACTCTGCAGGAGCTGGACCTTTCCAGGAACAACATGGCTGGACCGCATTTTGAGGAACTACTAACTGCCATTGCCGGTTCCAGGATAACACACTTGTTGTAAGTATTCCTACAATCCTCAACGTGGACCTTACTTCATTTTAAACTTTGAAAAGTAAATTTCCTGTATAAAATACCCGTTTCTACCTTTATTAGTCAGAATGGCCTCTACTGTGCACCTCTCTGATTTAGTTTCACTTTCACTTTGTACAGTGCCTTGAAAAAGTCTTCACACCCCTTGAATTTTTCCACATGTTGTTATGTTACAACCGAAATCGTCAATGTATTTATTGGGATTTGCTGTGATAGACCAACACAAAGTCGCCCATAATTGTGAAGTGGAAGAAAAATGATAAATGGTTTTCAAAAATTTTTAACAAATAAATACCTGAAAAGTGGGGCGTGCATTTGTATTCAGCCCCCTTTACTCTGATACCCCTAACTAAAATCTAGTGGAACCAATTGCCATCAGAAGTCACCTAAATAGTAGATAGATTCCACCTGTGTGTCATGGGATCTCAGTATAAATACAGCTGGTCTGTGAAGCCCTCAGAGGTTTGTTAGAGAACATTAGTGAACATCAGGAAGGCCAAAGAACACAACATACAGGTCAGGGATAAAGTTGTGGAGAAGTTTAAAGCAGGACTAGGTTATAGAAAATCTCCCAAGCTTTGAACATCTCAGGGAGCACTGTGTTCAATCCATCATCCGAAAATGGGAAGAGTACGGCGCAACCGTGAACCTACCAAGACATGGCCGTCCACCTAAACTGACCGGGCCGGGCAAGAAGAGCATTCATCAGAGAAGCAGCCAAGAGGCCCATGGGAACTCTGGAGGAGCTGCAGAGATCCACAGCTCAGGGGGGAGAATCTGTCCACAGGACAACTATTAGTCGTGCACTCCACAAATCTGTCCGTTATGGAAGAGTGGAAAGAAGAAGCCATTGTTGGAAGAAAGCCATAAGAAGTCCTGTTTGCAGTTTGTGAGAAGCCATGTGGGGGACACAGCAAATAAGGGGAAGAAGGGGCTCTGGTCAGAGGAGACCAAAATTCTACTTTTTGACCTAAAAGCAAAACGCTATGTGTGGAGGAAAACTAACACTGCACATCACCCTGATCACACCATCCCCACTGTGAAACATGGTGGTGGCAGCATCATGTGGTGGGGATGCTTTTCTTCAGCAGGGACAGGGAAGCTGGTCAGAGTTGATGGGAAGATGGATGTAGCTAAATACAGGGCAATTTTAGAAGAAAATCTGTTGGAGTCTGCAAAAGACTTGAGACCGGGGGCGGAGGTCCCCCTTCCAGCAAGACAATGACCCGAAACATCCAGCCAGAGCTACAATGGAGTGGTTCAGATCAAGGAATCTTCATGTGTTAGAATGGCCCAGTCACAGTCCAGACCAAAATTCAATGGAGAATCTGTGGCCAGACTTGAAAATTGCTGGTCCCAGACACTCTCCATCCAATCAGACAGAGCTTGAGTGATTCTGCAAAGAAGAATGGGCAGAAATGTCCCTCTCTAGATGTGCAAAGAGACATCCCCAAAAAGACTTGCAGCTGGAATTGCAGCCAAAGGGGGTCCTACAAAGTATTGACTCCGGGGGGGCTGAATACAAATGTCGCCACACTTTTCACAGATCTATTGGTCACAAATGTTGGAAACCATTTCTCATTTTCTTTCCACTACACAATTATGGGCCACTTTGTGTTGGTCCATCACATCCAATCCCAATAAATACATTGTAACATGACAACATGGGGGACATTTCAAGGGGGAATACATTGTAACATGACAACATGGGGGACATTTCAAGGGGGAATACATTGTAACATGACAACATGGGGAACATTTCAAGGGGGAATACATTGTAACATGACAACATGGGGGACATTTCAAGGGGGAATACATTGTAACATGACAACATGGGGGACATTTCAAGGGGGAATACATTGCAACATGGCAACATGGGGGACATTTCAAGGGGGAATACATTGTAACATGACAACATGGGGGACATTTCAAGGGATGTGAAGACTTTTTCAAGGCACTGTAAATTACATTTTCTGACTTGATGGCAAAATCCCACCAAAGGCCCTTCAACAGTCCAATGAAAGACCTTTATTGGCCGCAAAAGCCATTGGACACTGGGAATATTAGTTGGTCATGAGGAAAGTCAGGCATCAGTAGCAAACTGAAACTAGATCAGAGAGGTGCACACTAGAGGGTTTCTAATTGGGTAATAAATTGAATAGGAAGCTACTTGTGGTATCCGCTTTTAGGCTGCTTGTCTTCAAAACTTTGCAGTGAAGCACAGGCTCACTCAATCCGATTTCGCGCAAGCTAAACTTTTTTGGGGTAGAATGACGGCACTGGTTGGGTAATGATGTTGCCATTGCTATTGTTTTTAATATATTAAATTAGGAAAAAAATAAAAAGGGAAAAAATTTTAAAAATTCTTAGACACTTGCCTTAAAAGCTGGCCACGCTAGTAGAATTTTGCTAAAAATGTTTAATTTTTAGAAACATTCGTTCGATTTCCTAATCCCCAGTGGGATGTTGAGTGATGAGAAAAAATTCGAAAGAAGCAGGATAGAACATTTTTCCCAAAGGAAAGAATTTTTAAATAGTGTATGAGGTTTTCTGTTGGGAAATTACATTCACTCCAAAATAAAAATCTTAAAAGCAAATGAAATTTTGAAGTATAATCATGGAGCTTACAGATACAAACCGACTCTTTGAGGACAACCAGAATGCCCATGCGGCCCCGCGATACAATTGAGTTTGACATCCCTGCCCCAAAATGACATATTAGCTTTATCATGTTAAAGACATTTCAAGAGTCAGGTTTAATCTTTTAAAATCAGCAGATTTCGTTTAAAACAATCCTTGGAGATCCTGCCATGAAGGTCCTTGTTCAACCACTTTCTGTTATAAGGTGACTACGCTCTATCCTTGTCTCTCCTGCATTGTCCCCCTGTCACATGGGCTTCCAATGGAGACTACACAGCATGGTCCACTTGTGGGTAGGTACAACGTGGTGCGGTGGGCAGAAAGACACACACAGAGTCCAAGTGCAGTATATTGGACAGGAGTATATTGTAACAAAACTTCAGCAGTACACAACAGGCCCCACAACAGAGCCAAGGGATATGATCTCCATGTATAATACATAAGGGGGGGGGGGGAAATTATCTCCATGTATAATACATAAGGGGGGGATATGATCACCATGTACAATACATAAGGGGGGGATATGATCTCCATGTACAATTCATAAGGGGGATGTAATCTCCATGTATAATACATAATGGGGGGGATATGATCTCCATGTATAATACATAAGGGGGGATATGATCTCCATGTATAATACATAAAGGTGGATATGATCGCCATGTATAATACATAAGGGGGGATATGATCTCCATGTATAATACATACAAGGGGGGGGATATGATCTCCATGTATAATACATAAGGGGGATATGATCTCCATGTATAATACATAAGGGGGGGGGTATGATCTCCATGTATAATATACATAAGGGGGGATATGATCTCCATGTATAATACATAAGGGGGGATATGATCTCTCCATGTATAATACATAAGGGGGGGGATATGATCTCCATGTATAATACATAAGGGGGGATATGATCTCCATGTATAATACATAAGGGGGGATATGATCTCCATGTATAATACATAAAGGGGGGATATGATCTCCATGTATAATACATAAGGGGGGGTATGATCTCCATGTATAATACATAAGGGGGGATATGATCTCCATGTATAATACATAAGGGGGGATATGATCTCCATGTATAATACATAAGTGTGATATGGATCTCCATGTATAATACATAAGGGGGATATGATCTCCATGTATAATACTTAAGGGGGGGGATATGATCTCCATGTATAAACACATAAGGGGGGGGATATGATCCATGTATAATACATAAGGGGGGATATGATCTCCATGTATAATACATAAGGGGGATATGATCTCCATGTATAATACATAAGGGGGGATATGATCGCCATGTATAATACATAAGGGGGGGGATATGATCTCCATGTATAATATATAAGGGGGGGATATGATCTCCATGTATAATACATAAGGGGGGATATGATCACCATATTATATAATACGTAAGGGGGGATATGATCTCCATGTATAATTACGTAAGGGGGATATGATCTCCATGTATAATACATAAGGGGGGATATGATCTCCATGTATAATACATAAGGGGGGATATGATCTCCATGTATAAATACATAAGGGGGAATATGATCACCATGTATAATACATAAGGGGGGATATGATCTCCATGTATAATACGTAAGGGGGAATATGATCACCATGTATAATACGTAAGGGGATATGATTCTCCATGTATAATACATAAGGGGGGGATATGATCTCCATGTATAATACATAAGGGGGGGATATGATCTCCCCATGTATAATACATAAGGGGGGATATGATCTCCATGTATAATACATAAGGGGGGATATGATCTCCATGTATAATACATAAGGGGGGATATGATCACCATGTATAATACATAAGGGGGATATGATCTCCATGTATAATACATAAGGGGGGATATGATCACCATGTATAATACTAAGGGGGGATATGATCTCCATGTATAATTCATAAGGGGGGAGGGGGTATGATCTCCATGTATAATACATAAGGGGGGGGTTATGATCTCCATGTATAATACATAAGGGGGGGATATGATCTTCATGTATAATACATAAGGGGGGGAATTATGATCATCATGTATAACCCATAAGGGGGATATGATCTTCATGTATAATACATAAGGGGGGGGGATATGATCTCCATGTATAATACATAAGGGGGATATGATCTTCATGTATAATACATAAGGGGGGGGGGGATATGATCTCCATGTATAAATACATAAGGGGGGATATGATCTCCATGTATAATACATAAGGGGGGATATGATCTCCATGTATAATACATAAGGGGGGGAATGATCTCCATGTATAAATACATAAGGGGGGATATGATCTCCATGTATAATACATAAGGGGGGATATGATCTCCATGTAATATATAACATCAGTGGTTCATATAGTGAACTCAGTGTAGTTATTCCCCCTGAGGTCATCACAGAGGACAAGGGGGCGCTCTTTACATCTGGAGGAAAAGAAATATCTCCAAACACCCAGGAAAGGTTTCTTCACAGTGAGAGATGTGAGAATGTGGAATAGACTCCCTCAAGAGTTGGTTGTGGCAGCTCAGTGGATTGCTGTAGGAAAGTCCTGGATTCTTTCTTGGATACACAAGAATATAAAAAAAAAAAAAAAAATGGATATAACATTTATATGGTGACGTTGATCCAGGGAATATCCGATTGCCTCTTGGGAGATCAGGAAGGATTTTTTTTCCCAGCAGGATCAAATTGGATCGTACTTTGCTGGGGGGGGTTTTGCCTTCGTCTGGATCAACTGTGGGTATAGGATTAGAACTTTTTTTTATTTTTAATGGTTGAACTGGATGGACTTTTGTCTTTTTTCAGCCAGACTAACTATGTAACCCAACTGGGACCACTTCCAACTGCAACAGTGAAGGAACAGAAGACTGGAGATGCATAGATGCCAACAGCGTGCATCTATGGAGGAGTGCAATGGGGGCCTAGCTGAACCGTACACAAATGGGACGTTTCCAGGAAGTCCCTGTGCTTTCCCTACTCCTCCAGAACCTTTCCCTGGCTCCCCCCCCCCCCCCCACCCCCCCCCCCCCCCCCCCCCCCCCCCCCCCCCCCCCACCCCCCCCCCCTAAATGGTGTCCCTGACAGACGGTTGAGCTATCTCTACACTAGTCACTTGCCAAATGTGCACCAAACCTGAGAGCCAGGGACTAAATAGACTCTGCCTTGCCCAAGATGGCCACCAAAGTCACATGGGGGTGCCAAACATCCAATCTGATAGCCGCCTTCCTGTGACTGAGGAAACCATAGAGGAACTAGGTTTCTCTCGACTTCCTCCCCATCTGCATTGCTTCTGCGGATGAGTGCCTCCTACAGTGGAGAACATAAACTGCACCTCTGTCACCACCAGGTAACCTGCCCTAAGAATGCCAGGCAGCCATTGCTGGAGTGCATGAGGCTAGGAAGTGGATGCAAGAGGAGGTTCTAGGAGATCAGCGGCACTGAGATATAACGACGAAGGATGAAAACAATTTTTTTTTTTGGGGGAGGGGGGTTTAAGTGGTTTATGGTATGCAGTGTTTTTAGCAAAAGAAATGCCATTCAGTTTGGGTTTACGTCTACTGAGCAAGTCTTTCCCCACCACCCAAATGTCCATGTCTGTTGTCCACAGTCTCCAGCAAGTGAAGCTGACGGACGAGTATGCCCAACATCTGCTGGTGCTCAGCAACCACCGGAACCTCACACACCTCAACCTGAGTCTGAACTACCTCACCGACGCCAGCGCAGAGTACATCACCAGGCTTAAAAAGACTTCACCAAACCTCCAACAGATCAGGTAGGTCAAGTCAATCGTCATGGCCGTGTAGGAGGATCTTTCCGGTCTTCTTACTCGACCTGAAGACAACCATTGACTTAGAACCCGCAGAGAACTATACCAACAGGCAAAGAAATGCCAACGTGACAAGAGATGAAAACCTTGGCCACTCGAGTCTCAGGCCTGTCCTGGCACTTCACACACACGCATGCAAAAATATGCATTTTCTTTTACTAAAAAATACTTAGAACCCCAAATATTATATCTTTTTTTCCAAGCAGAAGCCCTAGACCAGGGGTGTCAAACTGGCGGCTGTCCAGCTGTTGTGAAACTACAAGTCCCATCATGCCTCTGCCTTTGGGAGTCATGCTTGTATCTGTTATCTTTCAATGCCTCATGGGACTTGTAGTTTGGCAACGGTTGGCAGGACCGCCAGTTTGACACCCCATGCCCTAGAGAATAAAATGGTGGGTGTTGCAATTTTTTGGTAGTGTTTGCTCAGCAATTTTTTCAACGCCATTTTAATTGGAGAAAATAACTTTAATACATTTTTAGTGCCTACAAACACAAAATACGCAGTTTATAAAAAAATATAAAAGAGGATGTTAGTCGCCGAGTACACAGATACCCGTTTTAAATCTGCTTAGCAACAAGAAGAAAAATTTAAAAAACTCACAAAATGTATCAAAAACGCATCAAAAAAGCAAAACTTTAAATGATTTCCTATGGGACACGTTCACATCTCCGCGTTTTCACCCCGGTGCGTTTTTTTAAAAGGGTCGGGGACTTTTTTTGAACACAAAAAAATTGCGATTTTGGTTCTATAGACTTCAATGGAAATGCTACAGAAAAGCATGTCGTCGTGTGTTTTTGATGCGTTTTACATTTTTTTAAAATGTATTCTGTAAACTCTTTTTCGACTCTCCCTTTCATTTTTCTAGCGTTTTGCAAATCACAGGCTGTGTCACACCCCTCTGGCCTGTGTCTATGGGTGTGTCTTTGCTGGGACTAACAGGGAGTTGAAGCCTCCATCAATCAACGTTTTATAACCTGCCCCCCATAGCGTTTTGCCAATCACGGGCTGTGTCACACCCCTCTGGTCTGTGTCTATGGGTGTGTCTTTGCTGAGACTAACAGGGAGGTAAAGCCTTCATCAATCGACATTTTACAACCCGCCCCCCCCCCCCCATAGTGTTTTGCCAATCACAGGCTGTGTCACACCCCTCCGTTCTGTGTCTATGGGTGTGTCTTTGCTGGCACTAACAGGGAGGTGAAGCCTCCATCAAATAACATTTTATAACCCGCCCCCCATAGCGTTTTGCCAATTTAGGGGCTGTGTCACAACACCTCCGGTCTGTGTCTATGGGTGTGTCTTTGCTGAGACTAACAGGGAGGTAAAGCCTCCATCAATCGACATTTTACAACCCGCCCCCCCATAGCGTTTTGGCAATCAAAGGCTATGTCACACCCCTCCAGTCTGTGTCTATGGGTGTGTCTTTGCTGGCACTAACAGGGAGGTGAAGCCGCCATCAATCAACATATCATAACCCGCCCCCCCATAGCGTTTTGCCAATCACAGGCTGTGTCACACCCCTCCGACCTGTATCTATGGGTGTGTATTTGCTGGCACTAACAGGGAGGTGAAGCCTCCATCAATCAACATTTTGTAACCCGCCCCCCCCATAGCGGTTAACAATAGGTGGAGGAGGAGGGAGGGGAGTGTCATTTACCACTGTGTATACGCCCACATCTGTGACTCTATAGTTACACATGGGCTGCACAAAATAAGCAAAAAAGGAAATGAACAGCTTAAAAGGGGACTGAAACTGGAGCATGCTCAGTAGATGTGGGGATGGACAATCTTAGGCTGTTGAGGGGACACAGACAAGGTGGGAGGGACCGTGAACAGCAGGATCAACCAGGTTTTCTACAATTTTTCTACTAAAGTCTTGGGTGCAAGAGGGCCAGAATCAATGCACTTTGTGGGGGGAGGGGTTCACTTTTATATCTTCACTTTCGGTGCCAGAGGACCCTGTCCTGGCACCGCCTACACTTGTATTCCGCTAACATCATTTTTCATTATTCAGGATCGAGACCAATGAATTCTCCAGAGCCGTGGAAGAAAACTTCAGACGAATGCAGATCACGGACTGAATGAATAGAGACCCAACTGATTGACTGGAAGACCAGCACAGATGGGGGGGAGGGGCGGAGGTCACTTTTACATGAACTGATTTGTGGCTGCTACAATCCATAGTTAATGTGGCGAAATGAGGACCCAAAAAAAAATTTAAATTAAAAAAAAAAAAAAAAAAAATAATATATATATATATATATATATTATATATATATAATTTGTATTAAAAGATTAAAAGGAATGCCTACTGGTTTTGTATTTATTTTAGTTCTTTCCACTCTCCCCCCCCCCCTTCCTGACCAGGTAATTTTTTTTGATACGGCTGTTACGTTACTTTAACCGCTTCCCGACCGCCCTATAGGACAAATACTGCTACAGGGCGGAACGGGTGTGCACAATATCACGTATATATATGTGATTTTGCATTTCCAGGTAGGTGCGCGCGCCGTACCCGGGCAGCCATTCATTCGGGCCACGGCTGTCAATCACCGGGTCCCGGCCGGTTATTACTCGATGACGCCCAGTGATTACTGAGCATCTCCCATGGGGAGGAGGACTGTTTTGTTTACTAACAGTCCTCCTCCCGGTCAACTCGGGCAGCCAGAACAGCCATCCACAGCAGTGTGAGTACAGTGAAGCACACAACCCCGCCCCCCTAATAAAACAGCACACAGTTAACCCTTTGATGGCCCCCCCATGTTAACCCCTTCCTGCCCAGTGCCATTAGTACAGTGTCAAGGGCTTTTTTTTTTTTTTTTTTTTTTTAGCACTGCTCTCTGTATTGATGTCACTGGGGATGTCAGTGACACCAAGTCACTTCCCCCTCGCAGTGTCAGAATGCCCGCCGCAGTCCCGATATAAGTCGCTGATCGCCGCCATTACTAGTATTACTAGTATTAAAAAAAAAAAAAATCCCAGCATCTATCCGCATTTGTAGACGCTATAACTGTCACGTAAAGCAATTAATTTACACATATTGGGATTTTTTTTCAGCGAAGACACGGAGCAGAATACATTTTGGACAAATTTATGACAAAATTTGATTTTTAAAATTTTTTTTACTTGGCATGTTTTATAGCAAAATGTCCAAAATATTTTTTTTTTCTCAAAATTGTCGGTCTTTTTTTTTTTTTTGTAGCGCAAAAATAAAAAAACCACACAGGCGATCAAATACCGCTGGAAGAAAGCTCAATTTGTGGGGAAAAAAAGGACGTAAATGTGGGTGTGGCGTTGCATGACCGCGCAATTGTCAGTTAAAGTAACCACGCTGTGACGCAAAAAATGGATTGGTCAGGAAGGGGGGAAAATCCTCAGGAGGGCAAGTTGTTAATTGACAATTGCGCGGTCATACAACGCTGTACCCAAATGAAATTTACGTCCTTTTTTCCCCACAAAGTGAGCTTTCTTTTGATGGCATTTGATCGCCTGTGCCTTTTTCATTTTTTGCGCTATAAACAAAAAAATTTGACAATTTTGAAAAAAAAAATTATATATTTTTGACTTTTTTGCTATTAAACATGTCCAGTAAAAAAAATTTAAAAAAATCAAATTTCATCGTAAATTTAGGCCAAAAAATGTATTCTGCTCCGTGTCTTTGCCAAAAAAAAAAAAAAAATCCTGATACGTGTAAATTAATTGGTTTACGTGAAAGTTATAGCGTTTACAAATGGCGGTATATGTACTAGGAATGTATTTTTTACATTTTTTTTTTCTACTAGTAATGGCGGAGATCAGCGACTTTTATTGGGACTGCGGCGGGCATTCTGTCTCTGAGGGGAACTGACTTGGTGTCACTGACATCCCTGTGACACCAGTACAGTGATCAGTACTAATGAAAAGCCCTGACACTGTACTAATGGCACTGGGCAGGAAGGGGTTAACATCTGGGGCGATCAAAGGGTTAACTGTGTGCTGTGTATTTCACTGTACGCATGCTGCTTGCAGAGCCATACAAAGCAGTGTGCGGGAGCTGACAGGGGAGAGATCTCTGCTGTTTATACACAGGTCTCTCCCCCGTCCCTGATACTTGGCGATCACCGGGGCCGGAGGGGAATCACCTTCCAGGACACAGCGATTGACAGCCGAGGCCGTAAATGGCGACAAGGGTAGGGCGCGTGCCCCCCCCCCCCCAGAGAAAACTAAATCACATATATATATACGTGATTTTACGACTCCGTGCCGCCCTGTAGCAGTATTTCTGCTATAGGGTGGTATGGAAGCGGTTAAAGTGGTTGTAATGGCTCAAGGTGCCTTCTATGCATGAAGATAAAAAACTCTTCTGTGTGCAATATCCCCCCCCCCAGCCCCCCGTAATAACTCACCTTACTCACCTAACCCCCCTTCTGATCCAGCGATGCGCACCAGAGTCTCGGCTACACTAAGGAATCCTCCCATAGTGTAGCAATTACTTATGATTTTTAAAGTCCAAAAAAGTTATTAAATCGTACATAATAGATAATACTAAATAAATCATAAATAAGTAAAGTAAAAATCATAAATACTCAATCATAAATAATAAATGTAAAAATCATAAATACTCAATAGTCATAAATACTAAATAAATCATAAATAATAAATAATAATCATAAATACTAAATAAATCATTAATACTTTTATAAAAATCATAAAATACTCCTAAGTAATCATAATACTGAATAAATCATAAATACTAATAAAAATCATAAATACTCAATAATCATAAATACTAAGTAAATCATAAATTATAAATAAAAATATAAATACTCAATCATAAACTACTTTAATAATCATTAAATACTGGGTACTAAATAATCATAAATGCTAAATTATCATAAATACTGGGTACTAAATAAATCATAAATACTAAGTAATCATAAATACTTTAAATAAAAATCATAAATACTAATAAAAAATCATAAATACTCAATAATCATAAATACTAAATAAATCAGAACTACTAATAAATCAGAAATGCTAAATAAAAACATCATAAAAACAGCATGATATGTGGCCATGTCCATAAACGACTTGTTTGCAAAATTCCATTAAGATGGCCGCCACGTTCCAGTGAGTGATGACGTCATACTCTCTAAGCTCACTCCAAACACGTTTCGTCATCTATGACGTCGTCAGGGGCAGTATAGACATATTTGTTATTTTAAAAAAATAAATAATTCAAGCCAATTGAATCACTTCAATGTTCTGAGTTAAAAAATTAAAATGTAATAAATAAAAAATAAAATCTTGAGCATACAAACAAAGCCTATCCATACGTGACGATGTAGTAAGGGACTGGATAGATGTACTTTTCGGCACCAACATGACATTCCAAAGTATTTCCTCTACTCTTTAGAAAGATCTGAGGAAGGAGTTTCTACTCCTCTGCTGAGCAGCTGAGGACGCCTGGGGGGACTATGGATCCGTGTGTCTTCACAGTGCTCATTGGTGCTGTGCTGGTCACATAAAGTGCTGGTCAGAATAGATAGAGAATCAAAATAAATATTTAACAGCAACAAAGTATTAAAAATGTAATTACAAATCTGTATTTCAAAAGCAAAAATATTATTATTATTATTATTTTGCAAATACCATGGTGCAGGCGGAATTTAAGTTGACTTACAATAGAGAGATCTGGAGGAGGTTTTTCCAATCCACATGCTGTCACGCCCCATCCAGTCTGTGTCTCTGTCTATGGTGTGTATGTGCTGGGGACTAACAGGGAGATGAAGCCTCCATCAATCCACCTTCCTAGCAATAGGAGGGCATGGAGGAGGAAGGAGGGAAGGGGACTGTCATTTACCATTGTGTATACGCCCACATGTGTGACTCACATAGGTTACATGAGCTGCACAGATAACAAAAAAGAGGAAATGAACAGCTTAGAAGAAAATTGAAACTGGAGCATGCTCAGTAGACGTGGCAATGGCTGGCCTGTACAGTCTCAGGCTGCCGCGGGGGGCACAGACAAGGAGGGAGAGACTGTGAAACAGCAGGATCAACCACTTTTTTTGTTGTAATCTACTGAAAACGCATGCTCTAGCGGCCAAAATGAGTATGGTACACAATGTAATATAGCATGTATTGACCATTTTATTGATTTGGGTTCAATTAACACTTTAACAAATAAATTAACAGGCTGTGCCGGGACGAGGTCCTCTAGCACTCAAGACTTGGATCTTGGGTGCTTAGAGGACCAGAACCAATGCATTTGAGGGGGGGTGTCATAGAATGCACACACGAAAAAACGCATGTTATTATGTTTATGACAAACACAATAGACGTACAGGTGGGAAGTGGGCCCAACAGTATGGGGGGAGGGGCCATACTTTTGAATTTTTTTCTTTTGGAGGGACCCTGTCCTGGCAACCACCCTGTACTTATATTCTGC